TGACAAAAGAATAAGATAAGTCAGTATTAGAAACGACTCTATATATTATGAGCATGAACGAAGTGAAATAAACTAGAATGAATGCATCTTATGCCAGATAGTCACTGGCGAGCCTCTACATGTCCTGCCAATTTCAAAAGACACAACATTGGAACAGGATATATAATGTTGCTGACAATCTTATTAAATTTCATGAACTTAATGCATTACAAGTAGGAGTAAACATTGACAAACTTATAGAAGCGGGATCAGGTAATATAATTGGTTAAACAAGATAGTTAATTACAATAAAATATATTTATACATTTTGTTCTAGTAATCAAATAATACATACAGTGATTGTGTTGTTTATTTCCAATTTTTTCAGTTTATGTTCTGCTGTGACTGTCACAGTATTTATTGATGGGGATGCTGTTGAAGGCCAAGAAACACGATTAGTTTGTACCATTCAAAAAAGTGATTCTACAAATACTAATGATCCATTGATTAGATGGGTAGAGGTTGTCAAAGGTTCACCTGTCACAATAGTGGAGTATCAGGCAGGATCTGGCCCTGTGTATGCTGACTATGCTGATAGATTTAGTGTAGAAAGCGATGGCTCTCAACTTACTCTTGTTATTGATAACACGATGCGAACTGATGATGGCACATGCACATACCAATGTGATGTTAGCGTTCTAAATGATCCTCCTTCACCAGCATCTGGTGCAGTCACAATAAGTGTTGCATGTGAGTACCCTACAACTTCACCTCGTCATTGGTTTGAACTCATTCAACATTCTTATTGTTGTTCATAACCATAAATCAATATGTACCGTATTTATGGGAACACATGCTCATATTAATGATCCAATTTGTGAGTTTTTATAATTTTTTTTTAGTCATTTATAAATCTACAAAATATCATAATTAGTTGTCAAATTACAATATAGTTTAATGTAATAATTCATGTCGAACAGCATATTAGTAAAAATCTATTTTCATGTGAAAAGTCAATACTGGTAGGAGTGGTATTATGTTTTTATAAGGGACGGTAAGTTGCAAAGTATCTTGCAGAATTATGATTACTTTAATTAAAATAGATATTAAAAATCATTCAATTATTACTGATTTTTTTTTTTTTTTGTTAAATGTGCTAATCCAAATTTCATAATGTCAGTTATATTGAATTAATATAACTTCCAGAATGCCCTATTGACAATTTTCCTCTGATATTGCTATATTTACCATGCTTTCTGTTAATTTCTTTTAGTAACTCAATGCGGTTGCTAGTCAATATGACCACACGGAAGACTGTATTTCAGATAAGAGTATTAAAGTTATTTGCTACAAGTCAGCTTAAGAGTGTTTGACAATGCCAATGTGTTGAAAAAATTAATGATGATATTAAATATGCCTATTACAATATGAGAATTATGTATCTATTATTTTATTATAAAATAATATACTATGATAAACATGGACATTTTAACATTTTATTTATACATATAATTACTTCTGTTAGTTTTTCCCTTATTTTTTTTTCTTCATAAGTGCATAATAATAAAAAGAAGTAAAATGATTGAGAATATAATGAATTTATATGCTATGGTTTATATTAAACATTTTCTTTTACATTTGCCTTTATTTCTTCTTTATAATTCTAACGAATCACTATGATTCTGTCTTCCAGATAAACCTGAATTTGGACTGGCAACCGAAGACACTGTTAGTCAGAATGAACAGTATATTATTGAATTTGAAGTTGCAGCTAATCCTAGTAATGTCACTTATCAATGGACCACTGATCCTTCTGGAATTGAAGACACAGACACTAACCCAGCAACTTTTACAGTCAATGTACCAGATGTTAACGTCACAGTGTTTACAATAAGAATGAATGTTACCAATAGCATTGGACTGACATCAAAGTCGATTAAAATAACTGTAATGGGTAAGCTTGAGCTTGAGTAGAGAAAGACTGCTAATGCTCTTAGTATTGAAGATAGACACTAACCCATCAACGATAAACCTTCAGTAGCATCACATGTCGGTCAAAATTAACTGTCTTTTGTAAACTTTGAAATGTTTATCTTTTTAAATGAATGTTCGAGAATTAACAACTAGGCCTCTGTATAATGTTTTACGTACATATGTTGTGGATTGCTAGTGAGTAATATTTTTTCTGTAGTAAGTCCATGTGCTGACGAGCCATGTGGAAATGGTGGGACGTGTTCAGTTGTTGAAGAAGGCTACAATTGTAGATGCACTGATCATTTCGATGGATTAAATTGCACAAGTAAGTAACTTAAATATTAATTACTAAGTATAATATTAATTAATTTTAAATTAATTATTAATATTAAGCATAATAATCTATATAATCGATACTATACAACCAATTACATCATATAAAAGTTGCAGCATTACCAGTTAAATTTTAAAAAATATTCAAAAGAGTCATTGTTTCAATTCGCGTTGTTTTTGTGTAAAGTATTTGTAGTGAGTGGACTAAAATGGCTGCGGGGGCCCTGCTGGGATCGAGGTGGCGGAGCTCAGGCATATTTGATAACTTAAGTTCTGAAGATTTATATACGGTTTTCAGTGGCGGATCTAGAAATTTGAAGAGGGGCCAGGGAGAAACTTTCACAGATGGAAGAAATACCACCTCAGCTCCACCATGATGGTTGGGGCTGAGGTAAGAAAATTTATGATTTTAGCACCTTCAAATGACCAGAAATTGCACTATCATACAACTCGAATATAATTTTTCCCTTTTTTTTTAAATTTTGAAAAATTGAGGGGGCTGGGCGATTGGGTTTCTTGAATCCCCACTGTCAATGGGGGATCAAAGAATTTGATATATGCAAGGCAATGACATTTACAGAGTCCATATCACCTCAGCCCCACCCACCATGGTTGGGGCTGGGGTAAATAAATTTATGATTATGGCACTTCTAGGTGGCCGGAGATGGCATCTCAGACTTAAATTTCAATATAAATTTCTTTTCTTTTTTTAAATAATTTTGACAAATTGAGGGTGGGGTATAATTTTTGAATGTTCTACCCTGGAAAATGTGGACTTTCGGTAATTTAAAGGGAAGGGAGGGTGCATACGCGCCGGTCAAACCCCAACCCCCTGACGTCATCAGTTTTATTGTGTTTATAGACTGCATCTATAAGGATGGCTGTGACTTGGATAAGGGGGACACGTACTAGAGTGATGGGAATGGCGTTTGTGGATGCTACTGTGGTGGCTGTAGACAATTTGATAAAAATACAAATCGTTGTGAAAGTGAGTACACAATAGCAATAGCTACTAGTCAGCTGTTGGGGTTTTTTTGTTGTAATATTGCAAAAAAAAAGATGAAGACGACGGCGTAAAGAAATTTTAATGCTAAAATACATTGCACCCGCCGATTAATGCGTTAGATGTTAGTAACAGACCTACCATTCGGGAATAATTAGTAAATTATTATTAGAATAGTAAAGGACTAAATTATTGAAAATGCAAAATTTTGGCGTTATTTGTATAATAAATAATGTTTAAATAACATCAATATTGAGTATGTGTTGCTGTTGTGCATCCAATCTATGTGAAAGGACTTATGTATCTGTGCATGTGCATAATAATCACTACATTATACTGTTTTTCTCTATAAAAATGACAATGTTGCTGTTGGTTCGCTCCATATTTTTATGGTTTTAAAAGAAGTGTCCCACTATTAATGTCAACCTCAATTCAATGTCTGATGTCTGCCTAACGTCTTGAAAAAGATGACCATTTGTATCAATACCAGTACCAGTTTTGATGTCCACATTACGAAACGGTTACTGTAGTCGCGATATTTGTTTTGATTATGTTTTCACATTTATAGAGAAACCAAAAGGCTATAATATGATGTTATTTAACTATTTTGCCACCATATCTTAAACTACTGACTGTTCAAATTCCCAACCGTGTTAGAAACAATGGGATGATCTTTGATTTACCTAGCCATGAACAAGCACACCGCATCATCAGCACATGTACAACTAAAATTATACCTCTAATTATTACGTTACATGATTCTTGTCAGAAAGTTCTTATCCTATTATTCTTTATTTCGAAACGACACTTTTACAACAGTGGTACTCGTCCGACACGATACATCCAAAGAAAAACAAAACCAAGTAAATCAAAGCAGATCAAATTTAAACACACCCTCCTCCCCCGAAAAAACATGATTGTTTTAAACCTGCCTGCCTTCACCCTTTAACCCATGTATTGAGACACAAAACACATCACTAATTTGCACCTACAATTTAGGCCTCCAGTTCTAAATTAATTTGTTTAAAGGGCCAAATATTTTTTGAGTTGAGCTCACGGGCCACAGATAATATCTGAGTCATAATACAACTCGTTATAATTGTTTTGGTAATTTCAAATTACACTTTTTATTGTGCTACAGTACGGATACGATGAATAACTATTGTAATTGTATTGTGTTAGAATCCCTTATTTGTAATGCCTGTCTCTTATACACATCTAGATGTGTATAAGAGACAGGTATTTGTAGTGAGTTACAGTCACCGATTGGTCGGTGCAGGCAGGTAAAATTTGTGCGATGATTTCATAACTACGCTAAGATACGACAACGTGCTTGCAGGCCTCCAGCTAACTTCGTGCCTTGAGTCTTTAATAATAGGTCTAGAATATTCGTATTAAACGTTCAGTTGGTTTAGTTTATTAGGGTTCATTGATTAAAAGATTTCCTTAACTGTTCATAATTAATATTGAATTTGAAGTAACTTTCTTCGGGTTCTAATTAACCTTGTTTTACGAAAGCAATTTTCAATTACAATTCAATTTTCATCACGGTGCACGATATCTTCGCGGTGACGAAACAATTAGGTGTTTTTTTTTTTGGTTTTTTTGCACACGAACCTAAACAATCAAGCCAAGCGTCCACTAATTGAAAAATTAGTGGACAGGCAAATAACATTGGGAGTTGCAGTGATGACGTCACGATTGACTTATAAAATATATTAGGGTATGCAAACATCTAAATTCTGAAACCATACATATCAATAATCTGTTACACTGCAGTTGTGTTCTTTGCAAGATAAAGAAAGAGAATTGAAATTGCATTATATTATATTCTTTATTTGGAAGCTACACTTTTACAACAGTGGCACACGTAGAAAACGGTGCGTCCAAGAAAAATATAAGAAAACAAACAAAATCAAAACATGACAAATCAAAAGTAAAAGCAA